GATGTCATCTGGCGAGGCCACGCCCACTGACAGCCATGTCCCTGAGCTTCAGGGAAGCTGGTTAGTGTCTCCTGCCAGGTCACCCAACCATTGCACCTGGGAAAGGACCAGGTGGAATAAATGAATTCAGAGATCTAGGGGTCAGCTTACATTCTGTGGCGTGAGGGGACAGCAGAGGGCAGGGGAGGGTCATGGGTGGAGGTTAGAGCATTTAGCATTTACAGGGAGACCTGGAGGGAAGGATAGGGATGCTCCAGGCAGAGAACTCCCCATCAAACCTACAAGAGGTGAGAGCTCGGCTGCACCAGGAGTGGACAGTGGCAGGGACACAGACAAGGTGAGGTTCCTGTCCCCGGAAGTTTACATGACAGTGACCCAGGAGAGCAGCTGAGTCTGCAGGCCTGGAGGTAGCAATCTGCACAGAGTTGGTCTCTGGCTCTCTCTTTCTCTTCTCTTTTATCTCCTGTCCTGTCTCTTTCCGTATTTCCCCATCCCCCCCCCCCCGTGTGTGTGTGTGTGTGTGTGTGTGTGTGTGTGTGTGTGTGTGTATCTCCAATTCTCTTTCTTCCTGGCTTTCTCTTTATCACCCCATCTCTCTTTGTCTGTCTGTCTGTCTCTCTCTGTATATTTGCCTCTCTCCTTGTCTCTGATCTTTTCATCTCTGCATCCACTCATCTCTTCTCTCTGTCTGCCTATCCATGTCTCCTCACATCCCCTCCTCCCTTCTCCTTGATTTCCCTTCTCCCCCCCACCCACCCCCCACTGCTGAGTGGGAGCTGAGGGTGGCTGCAGAGTTCTTGCCCAGTCGGTTCCCTGCCTGGCACCGTGTGGGCTGTGGCAGATAAGGCTTGGAGAGGCTGGGGGTGTTGCCCAGACACATTCCAGAGCCAGCCTAGAAGAGGCACAGCTCTCCCCCGCTGGGGACCTGGCAAGTCGCTGTTCCTGCAGCCTCTGCCTCCCTGGAGAGGGGTGTGTCTGGGTCTGGATCTGTGGTCTCTGTTTCCCTGTTTGCACCCACATCACAACAGGCAAGCTCCAATGAAATAAATAACATGGAGGCAGACAGAAGCCATTCAATCTGTAACATGTCACCCAACCCATAAAGCAATGCCCCTGAGGTAACTTGATGCACAGAAGTGATGGAATGAATAACTAAACCAAGACATGGGGAGAAGGGACAACACTTCCTTCTACCGAGAGACAAAGGGTTGTTCTAGAAATTTCCATCTCTCTGAGGAGCTTAATTGCCACCTCCCCCCCCCATGCCATGCACTTGTTTAAGAAGAACAGACGCTAGGCCACCATGGTTGGAACTGTGCATGATCCCGGTATTCAGGTGGCTGATTAGGAGGACGGAGTCGGAGACCAGCCTGGGCTTGTCTGAAACAGAAAACAGAACAAAAACAAACTGAGGTGGCATGTACCTGTAATCTCAGTTTGGGAGGTAGAGGCTGAGGCTGAGGAATTCAAGGATAGCCTTGGTTACACGAGACACCGTCATCAAACGAAACAAAACAGAGTACAGGCTGGGCCTTGTGAGGAAGACGTGATCCAAAGACCATGGCCAGTCTGGGGAAATTAGAAATTCAGTCTCAAAGTAGATAATCAAAGTGTCTGCAAAGATGGCTAAGGACACTTGTAGCTCTCGAAGAAGAAGGGGCTTAAATAGAGATAAGGAGACAGGAAAGAGAAGGAAGAGGAAAGGGAGGAGAGGGGAAGGAAAAATGGAAGAAAAATCAGGTTGCACGGAGAGCAACAGATGGAGAGACAAACTGGAAACAGAGACAAAGAGGAAGGAAGGGCTCAACCACCTGTCACTCCAGCCTCGGGGGATCCAGCGCCCTCTCCTGGCCCCCCTGGGCAACCACACCCACATGCTCACACACAGAGCCACATATACCCAAAATAAAAACAAATGTTGTTTTAAAGTTAAGAGAGCTGGGGGTATAGCTCAGGATCCAGCAGCGAAGAGCTGGAGATGTGCCTCAGCAGTCGGGTGCCGGTCCAGGTTCTAGCTCTAGGTAGAGTGAGGTGACTCAGCCGTAAGGGCATTTGCAGCCCAGCCTGGTGATCTGAGGGCAACCTCAGAGACTCCCATGGGTGTGACACAGAACTGACTCTTGTAAGTTGTCCTCTGACTGCCACACATGCTAGGGCACACATGCCCATATACTTGGGCACACTTGCACACATATGTACGCTGCATGGGAATAAGTGTGGGAAAACTGAAAAGAAACGAAAGAAAAGCAAGGAAAGGCAACAAGTTAACCACGGTTAACCACACACCTATAATCCTCGAACTTGGGACACTGTGGAGACTGAGGCAGGGGGATCGCTAGTTGCAATGAGCCCGGGCTACTTGGGGTGGGGGAGCACACACTTCTGTTTCTCTCCTCACCAAGTATTTTCACAGAAGCCAGGGAGGATCTCTACACCAGGGAGGGCTTTACTCTGTTCCCTTACATGTCTTTGTCAAAATTTGCCCATCGTAACACGTGTGTTTCCCTGCATTTAAATTTTTCTCAGGACAAGAAGTTTAGGCACCTGCTATGCTGTACATGCCTACTGTCTGTAGTGAGATGATACTCGTAAATGGCTTTAAAAGGAAGCTTTCCTTAAAGGATGGATGCACGAAAACACCATACTTTTAACACAACTCCTCTGCAAATTTGTGAATTTCTGACTGAGCCATTTTCTGTTGCTCTGTCTGATAAGACACGTGACCAGGGTAACATCATATAGATGAGAGTGTTTGCTTGGGCTCACAGTTTCAGAGGGCTGGAGTCCATGACCATCACGGGGTGCGGTGCGGGGCAAGCATGGCAGCAGGCGGGGCGGGCATGGCGCTGGGCAGTGACTGAGAGCTCACATCCTAATCCACACTGGGTATGGCACAGGCTTTCGAGACTTCAAAGCCCACTCCCAATGACACACCTCCTTCAACAAGGTCTCATCTCCTGATCCTTCCCAAACAGCTCCACCAACTGGAGACTAAGTATTCAAAAAGAGTATGGCGGCCATTCTAATTCAAACCAACACAATTTCAAACTGCTCTAAAATAAGGTTTTAAATATACATATATATATATAAAATATATTATATGTATATATATATGATATATATATGGATGGATATTGCATGGGAAATAAGATTCCGGAACACAATATAGGTTGATGGATGTTTATTCAGGGGAGAAATCACTCACACCAGAAACAGATGACTGCTGCAGGTTCCTGTTCCAAGGGTGCCCCCGGATACCCTCTGTCTCCAACCAGGTAGTGAGAGAGTGAGCTGGGGTCTAGGACCCCATGCATAGCCCCCACTGGTCTCGTCTGCACCTGTCCCCACGCCCCAATGGGCATGGTCAATGCAACAGTTATGGGCGGGGTGGATATCTCACTACAGATGGACAATGATAGACAGATGATTGGATGAGTAGACATAAATGGATGATAAAGGGATGGATGGATAAATCAATAACAGATGGGTGATTAATGAATAGATGATGGTTTTTGGGTGAATGGATGGATGGATAGATAATAGATGGGTGTCAATAGATGACAGACAGATGAAGGATGGTGGAGGGATGGGTGAATAATGAATGCAAGGACAGCCGTCGCAAATGGATAGATGGATGGTGGATGGACAGATAAGAGACAGATGGATGGATGATGAATGAATGAACGGATGACAGATGGATGTCAGGAGATGATAAGTGGGATGGCTGAGCGGTAGATGAATGGCAAATAGAGGTCAATAGATGACAGAGGGAGGAATGATGGATGGATGGGTGACAAATGCAAGGACAGCCATCACAAATGGATAGTCAACAGGAAGATGGTAGATGGGTGGATGAATGGATAACAGAGTAGATGATGGAGTGCTGGGGAGCTGGGTGGGTTATATATAGGTATAAATGGGCAACAAAAAATGATGCATGAATGAATGGATAACCGATGAATAGATGATGGTAGATGGATAATGAACATATGGGTAGAAGAATGGCTGGATGAGTGGATGGATAGGATCTGGATAGATGATGATAGATGAAATAATGGATTGATTTATTAAGAAGCAAACACGGGAAAGTGCAAGTTTTGGACTCTAGGATACTAGTATGCGTTCATTTTCAAGTATCTATTCGTATAAAATTTTCACAAAACCATGGTAAACAGAAGAGGGCCGAACCCTTCTGGCTTCTGCATGAAGCACTCTACCAACTCCCCATTTCACTTCAGCTAAGATTGAAAAGTGTCCGCATGAACCCTCCCATCGTCTCCCAGATTCCGCCCCCTACCTGTCCTTCCCCCCATTCTTTTGTTTTTTTAGGTTTATTCATACTCATGGATGTTTTGCCTGTGTGTGTGTATGTGCACCACATGTGTGGATGGTGCCTGTGGGGAGTCAGAAGAAGACACTGAATCCCCCGGGGGACTGGAGTTATGGGTGGTTGTGAGCTGGCATGTGGGTGCTGGGAACTGAACGAGGGTCTGTTGTGAAGTCACACCGATCCTTCTCTTCAGCCCCCCCCTCCTTCCACACCTCTTCCTCTGTAGTCAAGTGGGTCTCTTTGCTCCTTGGCCATGCCTCGGAACCTCTGTACAGCTGTGCTTTCACTCTGAGACACATCCCCCATGGCCGCTGTGACTCTTTCCTTCCATCCTGCTTCTATGGGCCTGTGCTTCCCACCCGCCCTTTCTACACCCCTCCCTAATAAGGTGATTTTTACACTTACTTATTTTGTGTGTGTGTGTGTGTGTGTGTGAGTGTGTATGTGCATGCGTGCACAGACATCATGGTTAGCATGTAGAGGTCAGAGGAAAGCTTGCAGGAATCAGTTTCCTCCTCCCACCATTTGGGTCTCCAGTTCTCAGGCTCAGCTGCAAGTGCCTTTACCCACTGAGCCACCTTGGTGGCCCCGAAGATGCTTTTCCATTACCCACTTGCTTCATCTTCTTGTTCATGTCCTCCCACCAGAATGAAAGTCTGTACACTTTGAGAAAGGATTGTGTGTTTTATTAACAGAAGAACGAAGAGGCACCCAGGACAACGCTCTGCACAATGTAGGGGCTCCATGAGATGGAATGAATCACTGAATAGGGGCTAGAAGCATGGGCTATATGGAGCCACAGTGTCTGGGGGCCATATCTGGCTTGTTGCTGTGTGATGCTAAGATACAGGCTTGTTTTGACCATCTCCATCCCCTAAATGCTGCGATTACAACTGTGTACCACCTCGCCCAACTCAGATCATATCTGGTTCTTGGATTTCCCCGGGAAAATGGAGACTACTGTCACCGTCACGATTGTAACAGGCAGGAACTTTGGGAAACATCTAGTGTTTTCTCGGAAAGGGGCTTGTAGACTTCCCACACGGAGTAATAATCCCGTGCCTAGAAATCTGCCCTAGAGAAACGAAAAGAGTGCATACCATGCTGATTTGCTAAACTGCGCGGGCGGGATTCCTGAGCGCAGTCATCAAAGGCGTTCCTTCTCAGCGCCCTCAACTTTCTTCTCCATCCAGGGTTCCCGGACTTCTTTCGTCTTCAATATGGAACTTCCTCCTGGGATCTGGTGTGCGAGCATCCTTGTTCAGAACCCAAGCAGGGGCAAATCCTGACTCACCCAGCCCCCACTTCCACAGACAGCCTCACTCGTGGGTTGCACGAACTCACATTTATTCACAGAGACAGAAGAACGGGAGGGGGGGAACAGACCTTTCTCACTGAGAACCCCCAGTGTCTGGCAGTTCCAAAGAGGTGATGGTGTCCAGTGTTTGTAATGGGGATGGGCAGGCTGGGGCCAACCCACCAGTCTCTATGCTTGTGGCCAAGTGCCCTCCGCCTTGTCCTGCCTTTACTTAAGACACGCGTTGGGGTGTTTCCTAACCAGCTTCAGGGGTCCAGGGACAGGTAAAAGGGAAAGTGGAAAGTGAATGACACAGGGCTCAGGGGGAGGCAGAGGAGGTATCTTTTTTAGCTTCCCTCTTCCTTACTTCAAACCGGGAGCTCAATTGGAGGGGCGGAGGGTGGATGTGAGGGTCAGGAGGCCAAGCCCCCCAATCCGTGTAGGTGGGCCTTGCTGTCCACCTCCTCATCTTCCATCTCGAAGGCTGAATGGTCTTGGCTGTCAAAACAGGAGGCGCTGAGAAAGACAGGGGGTGCCCGCGGGGACTGCGGTGGGGTGCCGGGTGAGGGCGGCTCTTCCTTGATGTGTGCGATGGACAAAGGGAGCCCTTCTGTCTCCTGCTTAAGCGGAGTTTGGGGCGACTGTGCGGCCTGGGACTGGAGCGCCTGCAAGGCAGTGGCCCTCTCCAGCTCAGCCCGTTCCAGCTCCGCGCGGTGGCAGCGCTGGTGGCGCAGCAGGCTGTAGGCGCGGGAGAACCGGCGTGGGCATCGAGGGCACGGATGCGGGGCGGGACCCCCAGCGTGGACTTGTGCGTGACGGGCCAGGTCTGCCAGCCGTTTGAACTCCCGCTGGCAGCGCACGCACTGGAAAGGTCGTGCCCCAGAGTGGGTGACCCCGTGCTGACGCAGGTGTGCCCGGCGTCGAAAACCTTTGCCACACTCGGGACACCAAAACCGTGGCTCCCCCGCCGGGGGCCGGGATGGGGTGGCATCTCCTCCATTCTGCCCGCCTTCACCCCCTTCCGATGCACCCCCACATTCTGCCCCTTCGCCCCCCTCAGGTCCTTTCCCTGAGTTCCGTCCACCCGAGGACTTGTCGTCCTTCTTACCGGCCCCGGGCAGTGGGGCCAGCAGGCTGAGAGGGCCGTGGACGCGGCGATGCTGGCGGAGGTAGGAGGCCAGGCGGAAGGCCAGGCCGCAGTCTGGACACACAAAAGGCCGATCGGTGGAGTGGACTAGCCGGTGACGCGACAGGGACCAGGGCCTGGCGAAAGCCTTGAGGCAAATAGAACACTGGTGTCGCTTGGGGCGGGGTGGGGGTCCCCCTTCGCCCTCCTGTTCGCCCTCAGGGCGCAGACACGGGTGCGCCTTGAGCTCCCCCTTCGTGGCGAAGGCTTCGCGACAGCGGAGACACAGCAGCGTCCAGTCGGCCTGGAGGAGGACCTGTTTCTCTTCCTGTCGCCCCGCGGCCAGCGCCAGCTCTGCCCTTAGCTCCGCTGCCCCGGCCTCGGCCTCCTCGGCCTCTGATGCCCGAGGATCGGTACTCGTGGGGGCAGCCACGGGGGCCGGGTCCCCAGCGGGCCACGTCTCAGGCCGCGCTGCCGCTGCCTCCTCCGCAACCCCGGCCACTGCGGTGGAGGGCTGCTCCACACCCTCGTCCTGTGGACCCCAACTGGACTCGGGCTCCTCCTTCACGGCCCTCTGCGTGGACAGATCCGCCTCGCCACCTGCGTGCTCCTGGGCCAGGTGGCGCCTGAGCTGGGCCGGCTCCGGGAAGGTGCGTGGACAGGCAGCGCAGCGCAGCGGGGGCTGGGGCCCGTGGCCACGGAGGTGGCGGGACAGGTGGGCAGGCCTGCGGAAAGCTTTGGGGCACAGGGGACAGGCGTGGGGCCGGAGGCCTGAGTGGCTCAACCGGTGTCGAGACAAGTAGTAAGGGAAGCGGAAGAGGCGACCACAGGTGGGGCAGGGCAGAGGTGCCCTAGGGGCTCCAGCACCCCCTCTGCCACGACCACGGCCTCGACCCCGGCCCCGGCCCCGGCCCCGGCCTCGGGCACGGTGAGGTGGGCTGCCCTGGGCAGGTGGAGGGGGCTGTGGATCCATGCCTGTGGGGGTGGGGTGGGGAGGGGAGAGGCAGGGGTGGGGAGAAGAGATGAAGGGTGTGGGGTGTGGTGAAGAGCAGAGGTAGAGGAGGGTAGCCCCTCAGTGCAGAAGACCAGACAGGCGAGGAGGGGAGGGGGGTGGCGAAGAGGCAGAGTCGGTAAAGGGGAGGAGAGAGTTGTGGACAAACAGGATAGAGCAACAAGGTCCGGGAGAAATGGAAGGGGTTGAGAGAGAGAGACAGAGAGAGGGAGCACACAGACATCAGAGGCGGGGACAGACAGGAAGACAGAACAATACATAGGAGATAGGGAGACAAAATCAGCCAACTGAGTTTGCTCTAGGGCCCGTGCGCTCGAACATTCTCAGTGGGATGGGGAACCAGTCCACCCTTGGGACCCAAGTGGGGTGGGATTCAGTAAAGAGACCCTGGAATGAAGTGAATGTACACCCAGAAGCCAGGGGCTGGGAGGAACCAGAGTCTGAGGGAGGAGGCTGGGGTCTGGACTCCTGGGTCTGAGGGAGGAGGCTGGGGGTCTGGACTCCTGGGTCTGAGGGAGGAGGCTGGGGTCTGGACTCCTGGGTCTGAGGGAGGAGGCTGGGGTCTGGACTCCTGGGTCTGAGGGAGGAGGCTGGGGTCTGGACTCCTGGGTCTGCAGGAGGAGGCTGGGGTCTGCAGGAGGGCTTGAAGGAGTACCGAGTCCCGGATCCACAAGTCTCAGGCAGGAAGACTGAAGGCTAGAATTCCCGGGTCTCAGACAGAACAGGATAGACGCGCCCCTGAGTCTGGGTGAGGGGAGGAGCTGGGTAGGGGGCCCTGACTCACAAGACAAGGGAGAGGAGAGGGCTGGGAGCTGGGCTGCAGAAAACCCCCGGGGTGGAGGTAGCTGTGGCCAGACCCCCGGCCGGGCGTGGTGTCGGGGGGAGGGCGTGGAGCCTGCAGGCTGTCGGGGGCCCTAGGTCCAAAAGGGGGCTATCTGTTCCGGGTGGGTATGATCTGCAGAACTGGGGCGGCGGGCCAAGGCCTTGCGGATCGCTCCGCGCAGAGCCCGGGGCTCGCCCCAGCCTCTGGGCGCCGGTCTTACCTCCACCTCCTGCGCTCCTTTCTTCCTTCCCTGCTGCCGGGCGATCGCGGACAGTGGTGGCGGGGAGGGAGGGGGCCGAGCGTGGTGGGGGAGTGGAGGAGGAGGCTGGGCTGGGTGTTACAGCCTAAGCTTTCCCCCCGGAAACCCGGTGTTTGGTCGGAGGCTAGAAGAGGAAAGACTGGCTGAGAAGCCGGAAGCGGAGGGACAGGGACCTTGGGGGGCAGAGAGGGAGGGCGGTGCTGCTCCTGAATCCTGAGAGGGGAAGGTGCTGAAGGTCTGTCTTTTGGACCCTCAGAGGAACTGCAAGCCTGGGGCGCTGGATCCAACTCACCACCCCTCCCTCCATTTCCCATGGATGACACATATTCATTCATTCTTTCAACAAACAGGCGTTTACGAAGCCCTGCCGGTGCCAGGCACTGAGCTGGGCTGCCGAGTCTGAAGGAGGGTTGGAGGAGGCAGGGATGGGGATGAACGGAGCAGTGAGTGATACAAGCTTGAGAGTGTACCCGCACTCCATAATAGAGCCCGCTTCCCCTTGGTTGCCTGGGCAACCAATTCTCTCTTCTCCGAGCCTCAGTTTCCCCCCTTTATGGTAAGCCTCTGGAGCGCAACCGGACCAGTTTTATCAGAGCACCTACTGTGGGCTGGCTCTGTCCTTGGTGCTGGATCGATGCAAGGGGGCCGGACCAGAATCAGTCGCACAGTGTGTGATGAGGGAAGATGCTTGGGGATACACGGGATGTGGGAGGCGGTAGGAGTGGACTCCTTATTCCTCTAGTCTTCCTTGGCGATAGTGTTTCATTGAACCTGGAGGTTCCAGAACCACATCTCAAAGTTCATGCGATAGAGAAAGAGGCCAGTTTCAGGAATCTACCTGTGTTACCTTTTTTTTTTTTTTTTTTGGGGGGGGGAGGAGTGGGTTAAATTCATGCCAAACATTGTTGGCAAAAGTGCGGGTAAACAGTTCCTTTTGCACATGTCTGAGGCGAGTAGAAGTTTGCAGAGCTTTAACAGCTTAGCAATCCCAGGAATTTACACTTCAGAGTCCAGAATCACGCAATATTATTTTTATGCCAGGTTCATTGCTACAGTTTTGGTTTTTTGCTTTAAAAAAAATTGTATATGTAGGTATCTGAGGCTGGCAAGATGGCCCAGTGTAAAGGTGCCTGCCTTACGGCTGTTGACCTGAGTTGGATGTTGAGGACCCACAGAGTGGAAAAGGAGAACAGATTCCTGTGGGTTGTCCTCTGATCTACACACACACACACACACACACACACACACACACACACACACACACAAATACAAATGCATCGGGCTGAGAAGCTGGCTCTGTGGTTAAGAGTGTTGATGCTGTTCCAGAGGCCTGGGGCTTGGTTCCCAGCACCCAAGTCAGGGGCCATAGAATCCCCTGTAACTTCAGCTCCAACACCCTCTTCTGTCTTCTGAGAGGATATGCGCAGACACCCCCACAGACACTTAAAAATAAACAAAATCAACTGCAGTTCATTTTGATTACATTTATTATTGATGTATGTGGGGTGCGCACATACCATGGTACACGTGTGGAGGTCAGAGGGCAACTTTCAGGGGTCAATTCTCTCCTATGACATGGGTCCTGGGACTGAACTCTGGTCTTCAGGCTTGGGTACAAGGGACTGTGCTGACTGAGCCTTCTTACTGGTCCACTACTGCAGTCTCCAACATCACTGTGAGTGGCTGAAGGTCTCAGGAAGATATCTGAGGAATAAAATCTTGTATATCCTCAAAAGACAAAACAAAACAAAAACCCAAGAGAAAGATGCTCACTATGTGGAGATGAGGAAGTGAACACCACAGGAACTGCCTGTACTCTGTGCTTGAGTCAGCGGCTTGGGGACTGGCAAGATGGCTCGGTGGTTAAAAGCGCTGACTGCTCTTGCTCGAGGACTGGCATTGGGTTCTCAGCACCCACAGAGCAGCTCGTAGTCCTTCTATAAACACTCCAGTTCCAAGGGGGACATAGCACCCTCTTCTGGCTCCCAGAGTAACAAGCATGCATGGGGGGAGGGGGGCCGGCGGGCATGACAGGCATACAGGCAGGCAAAACACATCAACTAAGAATAAATCTTTTTTAAAGGAGGGGGAGAGGAAGGAAGAGAAAAAGGAAGATGATGAAAAAGAATGGAAGGAAAAAAAAGAAGGAAGGAAGGAAGAAGGTGTCGTGGTTGGTTCATAGCTGCAATCCCAGCACTTGGGAGGCAGAGGCAGGCGGATCTCTATAAATTAGAGTCCAACATGAAACATGATCTACAGAGCGAGTTTCAGGACAGGCTCCAAAGCTACAGAGAAACCCTGCCTGGAAAATAATAATAATAAAAATAATAATAAAAAGAGGTGGAGACTGAGCAATGAAGATTCCATACAATAAACTGGACGGTGGTGGCGCACACCTTTAATCCCAGCACTTGGGAGGCAGAGGCAGGTGGATCTCTGTGAGTTCGAGTCCAGCCTGGTCTACAGAGTGAGTTCCAGGTCAGGCTGCAAAGCTACACAGGGAAATCCTGTCTCGAAAAACCAACCAACCGACAAAAACAAAACAAAACAAAAAGAAAAGAAAACCACCAAAACAAAATAAAAAAGATTCCATACAGTAATAATATAAGGAGTTAGAGGCCAGATTTTACTGCATAAATCCTAGTCTCAAACAAATGCTCAAACAACCTCGAGAAGGGGGTAGGGGGTGTGAGGAAACAGAAGAGAAGTAACAAATTTAGAAATGGATAAACAGGAAGAATTTCAAACAGAAGAGAGCAAGGGGGCTTGTTACTTGGGGGTGGGATCTAGAGTGGCCATCCGTGGTGGCCAGAACTGTCCCAGAGAAGCCTGAACCCCCGTGTAAGGACTGTGGCAGGCTCCTAGTCCGGACTGGGCTTGGGGTTATTCGGAGAGCACTGAGGAGCCTTTGAGGAAGTTTTGAACAGGAGAGTCATATGATCGGATTAGCGTTTTAGAGACATTCCCGAGGGACCCGCATGGAGATGGGCCGGATGCCAGGGAGACCAAGGCCAAGGGGTGGTAGCAGTGCGCTGGTCCAGGGGAGGTGACTGGGCTGCTGGGAAGGTAACCCATGCTCGGGAAGGCGCTGACTGAGTGAGGGGCACACTCCATTCCTACCGCAACGGCTTTCTTCCTGGCTCCTCCGCTCCCATCCTAGACTCCAGCCCTCACAAATTACAGCTCCTCACTCAAACAAACAAAACAAAACACAACAACAACAAAAAAACAAGAAAGTGTGTGCGTGCCGGCAGAGAGGAGAGGACAGCCTGCCGTTGTCTTCTTCTGCCCTGTGGGTTGCAGAGATGGAGCTCGGGTGGGTCTGCTTGGAAGCAAAGCTCCCTTACTTGCTGAGAGGTCTAGCTGGCTCAGCCACACCTCATTTTTGAGCCGAACACCTCCCGAAGTTCCTCTTCATGATCAGGAATAAAAAACAGCTCTTCCCCCTGAGCCCTCAAATCCCGTGTTTACCCGGAATCCCGTGTTTACCTGGAACTCACAAGGATCCTCCTGCGTCAGCTTCTCCAATGCTGGCTGGAATTACGAGCCTGCACTACCACCCAGGAAATGGATCAATTTCTCTTGTAACTGTTTTCCCTGAACTGCAAAGTTTGTGGTGGAGGCCATGGCTTCCTTAGGGCCCCCCCCCCGCTCCCCAGATTCAAACCAGCCACTGGTGGTTGCTGCTTCTGTGACAACCCTGGTGAACTCTGGATCCTCCTGTCTCTGCCTCCCAAGTACCGGTACTATTGACTTGGGATAGAATGTACCCCCAAATTCATTTCACTCACAGTAAGTCTTGCTTCTGGACCTCCATTGCTGAGTGGAGAATACTGTATGTTTGTATGTGTAAATATGCATTATACATCTAAAATAAAACATATTTATTTCTTGCATATAGGTGTTCTGCCTGCAAGGTTGTCTGTGTATTGCATGTGTGTCTGCTTCCCATGGAGGCCAGAAGAGGGCGTCTGTTACAGATAAAGTTACAGGTGGTGAGCCTCCATGTGGGTGCTGGCCCTTCCCAAAAGCACCGAGTGCTTAACCACGAAGCCATCTCCTCAACCCTAGAAAATACCTTAATTTTTACACGTTTCCTTATTTTGGGAGGGGGGTAGCATGCACGTAACATGGTGTGGCCGTGTAGAGCCGTGTAGATCAGAGGACAACTTGCAGGAGTCCTTTCTTTCTTTTCATTGGGTGAGTCCCAGGGCTGTGGGTCTGGGCAGTGGGTATTTTTACCCACTGAGTCATCGCGGACCCCAGCATTGAGGACACCACTGAAGCCTAGCTTCTCTGGGGAATGACTTTGTTCCCAAGGGATGGAACTTTTTCAAGTTGGCGATTGCTAGTCTTAGCCAAAAAAGAGTCTTATTTTCCCCCTGATCATCTCTGGAAACATCTCTTCCATGTGATACATGAGACTTGGAGATAAAAAGAGCATGATGTGAATGAAGGATTGGGCGAGATTGTTTCAGAAGGGACCCCAGCAGGGTGGTAGAAGGTAAAACACTTGCCTTTCACAAGGCCCTGGTTCCATCTCAGCACTGTAAGACAGAAACCAAACCAAACAAACAAAACAAAACAAAACAAACAAACAACAGGGCTGGGGAAATGGTTCCTTAGGTAAAGTGCCTGTTTTGCAGCAGGAGGATCTGAGTTCGACTCCCCAGCACTCATAGAAGCAGGAGGGTGCAGCAAGGTTCAGTAGGGAGTGAAGACAGGCAGGTGTCTGAAGCCCATTAACCAGCCAGCCAGCCTAGCCCAAAACAAGCTTCTGATTCAGAGAAGGCAGGGTGCTGGTGAGGTGGCACAATGGGAAAAGGGGTTAGCTGCTAGCCTGACGGCTGGGGTTTGGGCTCTGGGACCCACATGGTAGGAAGGAAAGGGCTTCTGAAAGTTGCCCTCTGCCCTTCATGCCCATGGCATGTGCACAAAGCACACAGAAGCACACATACACAAACACACACACAAATGCACACACAAGCACATGCACATACACAAAAACACACACAAATGCACACACACATGTGTGGGCCTTCTGTGCCTGCCACGCCCATTGGGGGGTGGGCATGGCGGGGTGCCTGGGGGGCGGGGGCCGGGCGCTCTTTTCTCGTGCTCGGACGGGGGTCGGGTGATTTCCTGGTGTTCTCTGTCGGTTGTGGCCCCTGTCTCTCGGCTTTTTGTTTTCCTGTCCTTTTCCGCATACACACATACACACACACACACACACACACGCGCGCGCGGCTTTTTAAATGTTTGGGGGCCTGTGAAATGGCGTGGTGGTTTAAAACAAGATGGTCCCCAAAGGGGGTGGCACTATTAGGAGGTGTGGCCTTGTTGGGAGGAAGTGTGAAGTGTGTCACAGTGGAGGCAGGCTTTGAGGTCTCAGATATGTTCAAGCCATACCCTGTTGTGAGACAGTGGTGTGAGGCAGAATACTTCCTGTTACCTTCGGCTCAGGATGTAGGGCTCCGCCCCTTCTCCAGCACCTTCTCAGCCGGCATGCCGCCGTGTTGCACCCTGATAACAATGAGGGTCGCGTGGCCATGGTGTCTCTTCAAAGCAATAGAAACCCTAACTGGGGCGGGTGACGCGTGCCACCGTGCCCGGCCATTGTCGGCGTTGTAACCTAGTGTGGGGGTCAAGGGGTAGAGACAAGCGTTATAGAGCTAGGTAGTTCAAGCTGGACACTGGCTGTGATCACGGACAGTGCAGACGACACATGGCATGTTCCTGCCCTCTGGCTGTTGAATGGTGGAGGAGAGTGGGCGAGGGTACTGGTTCTGTATATTTGTGGCTTATCCATGTCCTACGTATGTGTGTGTTTAATCCCAGCATTCGGATGACAGAGGCAGGAGGATCCCTGTGAATTCAGAACCAACCTGGTCTCCATGGCGAGCTCCATGTCAACCGAGGCTATATAGTGAGGGCCTGTCGCAAAACTAAAGGGTTAATAAAGTCTAGTATGCCTAGGACTGTGTATTTTGTACTGTGCGGAGTTCTCACAGCCTTTATAATGTCTAGCACAGAAGGGTCCCTTAGCACAGGGATGGGAAGGAGAATGTGGAAGCCAACCTCTCCCTCCTTGCTTTCTGGGATGCATTCTCCTCCTGTACCTATCCAGGTATCCCCAGTAAGTCCCCTTCAAGGACCAGGCTAATGCTGCCTCTTCAGAGAAGCCCTCTGGGCCATCTTATCTAAGAAGGTGTGCTCTGGATATTCACTGTGTGTGTGCATGCATTAGGGATTGAATTTAGGATGTTGCTAGACAAGTGCTCTACCATTGAGTCACATCCCCAGCCCCTCACTTGGGGATTCAAGGCAAGAGCTCTATCTCTAAGCCACGCCCCAGTCAGTTTTGATACCTTTTAGGCAATCCTCTGCCACTCATCCAACCTTGTCCCAGCGCCTCACTGGTAATTCTAAGTATTCTACCCTTGAATTCCATACCCAGATCTTTTCAATCTTTTCCTCCAAATTGCTAGCGCGTGCGCGCACGCGCGTGTGTAAGGAAGCCAGAGGACAACCTCGGATGCCACCCATCATAGTGTGTCCATGTCCTTTGAGACAGAACCTCTCCTTGGTCTGGGCCTCACAAATAAGGCTAGACTGACTGAACAGTGAACCCCAGGGATCCTCTCTGTTGCCTTAGCTTCGCCACACCTGGAATTTTTGTGGATCCTGGAGATGAAAGTCAGGCCCTCGTGCTTTCGAGTTAAACATTTCACCAACTAAGCTATCTCCCCTGCACAACCTTTTAGTACTGAGTTGGGTTCTAAGTCATCCGTGCTGGCTGCCGCTGGTCTTCTGTGTCTCCTGCCTCAACTTCCTAAGTAGCAAGCCTGCACCTGAAACCAGCAGCCACCACTTTCTGTCCAGAGTCTTCGTTACCATGAGGTCTTCATGTGACTCCTCCCTCTCTCTCTCCCTCCCTCCCTCCCTCCCCGTGTGCTGCTCACACACCAGAATCTAGGAAGCTCCAACATTTTCTGCTTTGTTCAATGCAGGGTCTCTGATCTAGAGTTTAGAATGCTCAGTGTGGATGTGTGGCACAAGAATGCCAAGGAGCATGCGCGAGCAGTCCTCGTCTCCGACGGGCTGGTCCTGTCCCAGGCGGTCTAAAGTTCACGTTTGTCTGCAGAAGGCAGAGTCTAAGGCCTGGCGGTGCCTCTTCAAGAGACTGTTTGGATTCCAAGGGACGTGTCCTGGGGGTGGGGGTGGGGTTCTTGATTTCTAGATGGGGCCACTTAAGTGAGATGTAACCCTGAAGATGTCCCAGCCTTCTTGAGAGGGTTTGAGGATCTGGCTGCTTACTGTAGCTATACCACTAAGGAAAGGTCTCTCCCTCTGCTGTCAACTGCCTATGCTCAGGGATTAGTGATAGCTGTGAGTCACCCCCCTCCCCCACCACACACACCCTACCAACCATTTAACTGCTTATAAATAAATCGGGGCAGGGACTCTTGACTCTCTCCCCCAAGGACAGATAACTAGTGAATCTGTTCTCTTTTTAAAGATTAAAAAGAAGTGATGTGTAGGTGTGTGTGGGTTTGTGCAATGCTCACGGAGGCCACAAGAGGATATCGAGTCCTCTGGAGCTTGGTTACAGGTGCTTATGAGCAAACTGACGTGGGTGCTAGAACTGAGCTCTGGTTCCCCGACAGTATGCATTTTTAACTAAGACTCTGGGTCCCAGGGAACATGTTCTAAGTCTAAGGGGGACTCCCTGAAACCCGGGATCAGCAAACAAGACAGTATGGACTGACAGAATGAGGTTTATTGGAGTCCCAGAGATATTGGGGAGACCAGGGGGTGGGGAGAGAGACCCCTAGCCAAGCCCCCCTTCCTCTCGGGGTTCGAACACAAGGTGGTAGCAATGGCAAGACCGACAGGTACTGTAGTTGAGGGGGAGGGAAGCCCCAATGTCCGCCACCGCCACCAGGTCACGGGACTGGGACAAGCGTGGAGGGCTGAGCTCTACAGCATACTACTCTAAGGAGAGTGGAGCCAGGCCACGACCTGCACCAGCCTGTTCTAAGTGCACAGGAGCATGTGTGTCTGGGTCAGTCCAACCTACAGGGCAGGGAGGGAGGCTTTGGGCCAGCCTAATCTAGTGTTCAGGTTGGGGGACGATCAGTAGGGTCAGACCATTCTGCAGGACGGGAGACCTAGGCTAATTGAAGGTGGGGGCATCTACCCTGGTCCTCTTTCAGCATAGGAAGTAAAATGGGGGAAAGGCAGATTCTGGCTATATTCATTTCCTGGGGCCCCCAGTGGCTGACAGGTATCATCTGGAAGGGATCCTGAAGATTCCAGGATGTTGCCCCCCTAACCCCCCCAGATGAGGTCGTTGGGAATGATGGCTCTCAGGGAGTAGGCGGTAGGACTGTGGAGGTGCCCACATGTTACCTGCCGAGAGGTGTTAGTGGAGACCCGTTTTTTCATTCCTAGGTCTCCAGCCTCGGAGGCCAATTGATTTGAGCATGCCTACATTCCAGGGGTCTCAAGGTCAAGAGTTTCTCTGTAGACTTCAGTCCCCCAAATTATGTTCTCGGACCCCTTTGCTGAAGGATGCTTCGCTGTGGTCCTGTGTGGGTTCTGGGTGGCACCATTTTTCCAGGCAAGGGCCTCATCTTCTGCTCTGGATCTGGAGGGCCGGGGTGGCCTGGCTATTCAGTCCATGCCCCTGTGCAGCTTCAGGTGCCTAGAGAGGTTGCTCAGCGTGATGAAGCCCTTGCCGCAGATGTGGCAGGGGAAGGGCCGCTCTGTGCCATGCAGCAGCCGGTGGCGCTTGAGGTAGCACTCGTGGCGGAAAAACTTGCCACACTCCAGGCACGGGAACGGCTTCTCCCCTGTGTGGACCAGCACATGCCGTTCCAGGTCGCGAGGCGAACGAAACAGCTTCTCGCACTCGGAACAGCCGAAGATTTTCTTGCCACGGCTGGAGGAGCCCGGCCCTGGCCCTCCAACCGCCTGCTCGCCCTCACCATCAGGGGCTGCCTCCCCGCTGCCCTCACCGTGGCTGGCACGCCGATGCTCCTCCAGGGCGGCCAGCGCCGCATACAACGCCCCGCAATGCCCGCAGCCATAGGTGGCTGGGCCAGAGTGAGCTTCTAGGTGGCTGGCCAAGGCCGGGGCAGAAGCGAAGAAGGTCCCGCAGTCGCACTGGTACAGTGTGTCTTCCGAGGACGCCTCTGCTGCCGCAGCCGGAGCCCGGGCATTCCCCCCACCCTCGCCCTCGGGGAGCAATGCCTCCAGCTTGGGCATGCTTGCCCCGGTGGGGCTCAGGAGCAGCCCGGCGTCCCAGGCGGGCGGGGCATCCCCCACCTCCACTGTGTCGCCATCTCCTGGCATCTCTGGGCCCCCGCTGGAGGCCCAGGCCTGCGTCTGGGGTGCACTGCTCCCCTGCAGGTCGTGAGTAAGCTTGTGGCGTTCTAGCAGGGCGGGCGCATTGAAGTCGCGCTCGCAGCGTGGGCACTTGAATGGCTTAACATCAGTGTGCGCAGCCCAGTGGGCAGCCAGCTCCCGGCCGTGGTCAAAGCGCCGGGCACAGGCGCCACACGCAAACGGGGGCAGGGAGGCGGCTGCAGCAGCTGCTGCCTCTGCCAGTCCCCAGCTGGTGGCTCCTGCTCCCTCCAGGCCCTCTCCTCCGCCGGCCCCTCCACCTCCACAAACCGAACAGGGACCCACGTTGCAACAAACTGAGCAGGGGGGGTTCAGGGGAGGCAGGCCCGGGCTTGGCTGCAGGGGAGAGGGAAGGACTCCCCGGTGCTGCCGCTTGAGGTGGCGGCCCAGGCTGGAGCGTGAGGAGAACCGGAGCTCGCAGACCAAACAGCAGTAGGGTTTCTCACCAGTGTGGACGACCTGGGAGCAAGAGCAAGAGCAGGGCTGAGCATCCGGGCCCTCCCACAGACTCCCAGCAGGCCTGACCCAGGCTCCCAGTCCCAAGCTTTCACCCGCTCTGCTCTCCTCCTGTTAGGTCAGTAGACAGGTATCAGCCCCACTGAGAAGGGGCCCCACCTCCTTACAAAGGGAGGCTTCACAAGCGCCCCCCATGAAAAGTTAAGTAGCATTAGGAGGAGGTAGTCGGGCTTCACCGGGGCCCATGAAAGAAAAGCTGCCTCCTCCTAGCCTAAAGATTTCAATCTCGGTTAGCAACATGGTCTGTAACTCCAGCACTTGGGAGGCCAAGCTTGTGAGCTGGAGGCCAGCCAGGCCTGCATCGTGAAACATGCCTGTCACGAAACAATCAGCCAGACATCAACAAAATGAAATAAAAATATTCTACGGAAAGAAGAGCGGGGGGAGCTAGAAAGATTGGTTTCAGCGGTTAGGACCTGGGTTCGATTCCCGGCACCCAAGCGGCGGCTCCAGTTCCCAGGGATCCAGATCCCGGGGATCTCTTGTTACCTACTGGAGCACCGGGAGTGAATGTAGTGCACAGCCATACATGCCAGCAAGACACCCACACACCTGGTAAATGAGTCAAGCTGAAAACTGGATCTGAATTCTGCTTTGGGTCCTGGGTGGGAGCCGCTACATTCTACACTGCCTCAAACACTACACATTACTTGCGTTCTCCCCAAGAGTCAACCCAACTCGGCCTGTCAGTTACCTGGTCAAGAAACCGCTTAGCAGATGGGAGGAATAATTATCCCCTCAAAGAAGCGATGGGTGCAACCCTCCTCACAAGCCCTCCCTGGGCTGTGTGCTTTTCACGGTTCTTTTTGTTTTCTCCCCTGACAGGGCTCTCTGTGCAGCCCTGGCTGCCCTGGAACTCACTCTGTAGACCAGGCTGGCTTGGAACCTGGAGATCCGCCTGCCTCGGCCTCCCGAGTGCTGGGATTAAGGGCCTGCGCCATTAAGGGCCTGTGCCACCACCGCCCGGCTCCTTTTCTACTTTGTTTCTCTTCTCTGGATACCAGCCCAAATCCTTACACTCCGCACTTTCTCACAGTCTCTGAAGACGCACCTCCCACTGAAGAACCTGCCTTCTCTCCTGGACTAACTGAAAACTGTCTTTCTCTCCTCCTACCACCTCTCCAGCCCCCAGCACCACCCTGTCTGGGGTGAATGTGTAGCTTGTTTCTCCCCAGGGGAAGTTAACTCGACACCTGTGAACACACGGTCCTTCACACCTCAGGGCCTTTGTACAACACTTTTCCCAAGAGGACGTCCCTCACTTCAGGTCTCAATCAGACGTCACCCTCCTGTGTACAGTAACCTGCAGCTCTCCTGATTACTCCTACACAATCACAGTTTTTATTCTGCTGTTTGTGACAGCGTCTCACATAGCCTCAGCGGAGGAGAGTCTTGAACTCCTGATCTGATGGGGGATGTCCTTCTGTATATATGTTTTCTCCTGCTGGTTGATGAATAAAGTACTGACTGGCCAGTAGAGGCAGGAAGTTAGGCGGGGCCAGGAGATGAGGAGAAGGCTGGGGAGAGGGTGGCAGAGAGAGACCGCCATGCTGCCGACAGAGTAACATGCCAGTTTACAGGTAGGCCACAGCCTCACGGCTGTACATAGACTAGTAGAAGTTCGGTAACAATTAAGACAGAGCTAGCCAGTAAGGACCCTAAGCCACTGGCTGGGCAGTTTTATAATTAATACAGCATCCGTGTGTTTATTTGGGGCTGAAGAGGCTGTGGGGCCTGGCGGGACAGAAACTCTGTCTGTACTGTTCCACCTCCCAGGCGCTGGGATTGTAAGGATGCAGCATCCTGCCATGAATTTTTTTTTAAATTTGCTTCCCAACTTCTCCCTTAGAGAACTACTTTCTCTACCCTCTGCCTGGCTCCTGCTCCTCTTAAGGAATAATATGTTCCCGTGAAGGCCTGTGTTCTGTGTAGGGAAAGCCCTCAGTTGGTCATTGCAGAATAAAGGAGTTGGGTGCACATGGGTAAACCTATTTCCAAGAAGAGAGCTGTAAACACGAGACTACACAGGCTTCAGCAGGAGAGGTGTGGAGAAACAATTACGTGGGGCCAACTTACTCTGCAGGCCGTGCTTGGAGCTCATGCTTTGGGTTTTTGGTAGAAAGTGAGATTTTTTTTTTTTTTTCTATGAGGAGGATGCTGGGGAAGGAGCGTGTTCCCATCTCCTGCTGCCTCTTCCCCAGTGGAATGGAGCCCCAGCATCTCAGCCCTGTGCGGCTCCCAGGACTCACCTGGTGGTGCAGCAGACCAGTTGAGTCTCGGAATCCCTTAGGGCAGGCGGAGCATCGGTAGGGCCGCTCGCCGGTGTGTGAGCGCAGGTGGTTAGCCAGGTTGAAGCTGTGCTTGAAGCCCTTGCCACAGCGAGGACAAGCGTGGGGCTTGAGCGCTGTGTGCCGAGCAAAGTGGCGCCGCAGGTCCGATCGGTAACGGAAGCTCTTGCCACATTCGCTGCAGTGAAATGGGACCCGAGGAGTGGTGGCAGACGGTGCTGGCCCCGGAGCGACAAGAGCGGCAGGAGCCACAGGCAGCGAGGACTCGTCCATGGTGGCAGGTCCGCTGGCGGTTTGGGGCTCTCTCTGGGGCAGAAAAGAGACACAGAAGCAGGTAAGAGTCGCCTCTCCACGGCCATCCCTTCCCTTAGCTCTCCGGGCTCAGAAACACTTGGTCCTCTAGCAGACCCTCCCAATGCTGAGACTCGCCCACCGCCGAGCCACAACCGCTGTCCTTTAAATTCCACGCTCTAGTTTGAAGAAGCTCTCAGATCCTCTCCAAGCCCTGCCCACTACAAATTAAGGCCCTCCTACTCTTGCTTAAGACTGGGCTGAACCTTTCTTGAGCCCCTCCCCTCTGTGCAGTAAGCATACAGTATTCCTCGACAGACAAGATTCCCTGCTCCTAACTCTTCTTCGAAGACCAGTGAAGCAAGCAAGGATTTGGGAGTGAGCACGTTCGTCTCCCACTTTTAGGGAGATCACACTAGTTCTGTAGCTTCAGGAACTCTTCACCTCCACGGCTTGAGCTAAGCAAAACCGTAGCAGCAACGTGGCCGACGTGCTTAGGAAGAATCAGCTGAGCAGTCTGGACATTTAAGCTCGCTCCTCTTTGTTCCTTTACTCCCACATTCCACGCGCCCCAGTGAATTTGACTTTTCTAAGGTAGCCCTTCGCTGAGACCTGCCTCCAAATCCCACCCAACTTTTCCTGCAACCAACTCACATTTTTCTATCATATTTCCCTATCGTTTTTCTTAACCGTTCCTCAGCCTGCTTTCCGATAAAGCCATGGAACTCTCAAGAGCGCATACCCATTTCGGGGGTGGGGGCCCCGTTGCCATGTGCACCTTTCCTCTAAGCCACGCCTTGGGGCAAACTCCGCCTCATACTCTGGGTGTGTCTCCTCTCTCCCTGAACCCCACTCTCTCCACCAACCTTAACAAGTTCCTTCCATTTTCCAACCTAGGCCCCTTCACCCAAGGCCTAGGGTCCACGCCTCTTCACCAGGCCCCACCCTTTGTGTAAACCTCTCCCCGCCTTCCAACCAGCTCCTCTAGCCTTTCCACAGAGCCCCGCCCCTCTCCTCCAGGCCCCGCCCACCGGCCCCTCCTCCCCTCCCGCCCCGCCCCAACCGCCGTAAGCTCCGCCCCCTCCTGCACCCCACTGCGCGCGCTGCTGCTGAGGGGGCCCCCTCCGCCCTGCTCGATCTTTCCAGCCGGGCCCGGGAAAAACGAGCCCTTTGTACCCCGGTCCCTGTCCCTGTCCCCAGGAGGTGCGGCCTCGGGCGCCGGGGAGGCCCGGGATCTGCGCGGGAACACCGCGCTTTTGCGTTGCGGGGGTCCTGGAGGCCGGGCAGGACCCCCCGCGCCCGCAGCCTCCCCGGGAGCCCGGGAAAGAGTGTCGGCTCCCCTCTTTAATTACTTACACCTCCCTCTGGGCGCCGACATTTTGGGCAGCGGGGTCAGCGTCACTTCCACCTGAGGGGCCCCTCGACTTCCGCCTGGGCTCCCTTCTCCCTCAACCAGCCACCCCCCCGCGCGCGCAGTCCCCCCTTCCTCCCTCCCCCCTGGCTCCCCTTTCCCGCCCCTGCCCGGCCCTTCCACACTCCCTTCCCTCCCCCGGCCCGGGAGGTTGTAAAGAAGCTAGGCTGGCGCCATCTCGGTTGAGGGCAGAGGAGGGGCGGGGCTGCCGGGCGCCGGGCGCTCACTCCCAGGGCGCGCGCCGCTACTCGCAGCGCACGGCGATTGGAGTTTAATAGAGTTTGCATTCGTGGGCGCAGATGTGACCCCGTCTGTTCCCTAGCTGTGGGGTCCTGCAGGGTGGGTTGTCGAGTTGCATCCGGCAGGAGGGGAGAAATCCGAGTGGCCAAAACGGATGCGGGAGTTAAGGCTCCACCAAGCACCATTTTACCACTTCTTAACCCCACGGGGCTCTGAAGCCGCCGGGCGCCATGTTAGTTAGGGGCACTTAGCAGCCATTTCCCGCTTCTCATCTATCCGGTACCTGTATCTGATTGGGTCACCGGGGTTGGAGTGCTTTGTGGGAGGAAAGGCATTTATTTGGGGGTGGCTGGGGGCCGTTCGTGCGGTACTTCCCGCTGGCACGACGAAGGCGGCTGGCGCGCAGGCGCGTTGGTTGCAGGCGCGTCTGGGCCTTGGGACCCAGAGCGTCCCCTTTGTTCCCCGCGGGCGGCGGGGCCGAGGGGCGGGGCCGGCTCGCGCTCCGCCGCCCCCGCCCCGCCGCCGCCTAGGGGCAGGGCCCCCTCTCCCCCGCCCCTTCCCACGCTTCGGCCCGTCGCCCCCGGCGCGCGCGCGCAAGCACACGCGAGCCCGGGCAGCATGCAAATGAGGTACCTAGAGGCGGGGGGCCCGGGGCGGGGGAGGGAGGGAGGGGGAGGGGTGGTCCCGGGTGCGCGCGCCCCCGGCACCTGCTCCCTCTCGCTTCTGCGCTCTCTCCTGCGCGCATCGCGCGCGCGCACCGACCCCGCGCCCCGCCGAGAGGCCCGGGCTCGCGCGCGCAGACCCCCCCCTCCTGCCAGCCCCTGCCGCCAATGTCCCCGCGCCGCTTATTGGCCACCGCACCCTGAGGGCCCGCCCCGCTTGCGGGCTGGGCCACTCGGGGCTGACAGGCAGACCCACCCGACTACTGCGGGTGGGGGAGGGTCGGGGGAATCACTCTCTCACTTCCTAGGTATGTTCCAGAAATTCAGCTTCTCGTCCAGGCTACCGCAAGGTGCGAGCCACGTGATCCTGGAAAAGTTGCCTCTCCTCATTCCCCCCCCCCCGTGTGGACCTCATGCTGCGTGCATATTAAAAGGGGGTGCAAGGTTTGGGGTTGTAGCTCAGGCCTAGTAAGAGTGAGGCCCCTGAGTTGGATAACCAGCACTATACACAAAGAAAACTTAAAAACCGACCTAGCAGTTTGAAGAGGGGTGCAGGTCCCCCAGGATCTTCTGCTAGTGGCACCTGTAGCCCCCTTGTTCCCCAAATGCACTCCATTCCTACAATCCCAAGTGAGGGTCGTGGGTTTTTTCTTTTTTGGGGGGGGGGTGCTTTCTGTATTCCAGGCAATGTCCTAGGGACATTTTTGAAGCTTCCTTATTCCAGTCGATTCTCCCCCCACAACCTCGGTATATTGATTTTACAGAGAAGGAAACTGACTCAGGCATAGCCACTTGCAGAGTCACGTGCTAATTATTGGGAGAATGGGACCCAAGCCTAGGACTGGGAGAACCTCAAGATAGCCAGCCCTCCCCCCCCCACACACCCCTAGTCTTCCCTAGATGTTTCTGATTTCCTGGGCCATTGAGATCAGTAAGACAGATTTGACGTCTTTGTCACTTTTGGAAGGGAGAACTTAAAGAACTCACTTGGCTTTCCCGTGACTTGGTTTCCCTGTTTGCAAAACAGAAAATGTGTCTCCTCCAAGGGTTGGTGTGAGGTTTAGCTACCCATGCTGCCCTGCTGGCTTTTGTGCACCATGTTCATTGCGTGTCTAGGTTAGTAGGTTAACATCGACGAAAGAAAGAAAAGCAAACAAACAAACCGCGATTTACATCTTGCAAAGGACACAGATGAGCCCAGAGAAGGACCTTGGCTAATGCCCCACAGAAAGGAAGGGGCAGATAACAGCATTTGCTTTCTGATTATCCACCTTCAATGCCCAGACTCTTAGCGCCTTGGATATATGTCCTTCACACATCAACAGATTTTGCCTGGGACCTGTTCCTTCTCAGACCTCCTCCCCATCTCTGGGGGTGGGGGAAGAGCTTTCTGAGGCCTTCGTGGCCCAGAGTTTGATGGGCTGTTTCAAGGCTCACATTCTTAGCTGAATTCTCTCTCTCTCTCTCTCTCTCTCTCTCTCTCTCTCTCTCTCTCTCTCTCTCTCTGACCTTAAAGGCTATAGTAGTTACTGATCTGTTGCTGTGATGAAAAACTGTAACCATGGTAACTTATAAAGAATGCATTTCATTGGGGGCTTGCTTACAGTTTCGTAGGGTGAGTTGGGGGCTGAGCATGGTGGCCAACAGGCTGTCATGATTCTGAAACAGTAGCTAAGAACTCACATCTGATCCATAAGTTTCAGCAGTAAGGGAGACTGGCCTGGTTGTAGGATTTTGAAATCTCAAAGCTTACACCTGGCCAAACACTTCCTTCATCAAGACCGAACTGTAGTTGGACTTTTCTTCAGGCTCACAAATAAAGACACAGAGACTTATTATTAATTATTAAAGCGTAGCCTTAGCGTTGTCTTTCCCCCAACTAGCTCTTATAACTTAACCTGTTTCTCTCTCTCTCTCTCTCTCTCTCTCTCTCTCTCTCTCTCTCTCTCTCTGTTGAAACAGGGTTTCTGTGCCTGTCTTGGAATGAGCTCTTATAGACCAGGCTGGTCTCGAACTCACAGAGATCCACCTGCCTCTGCCTCCGGAGTGCTGGGATTAAAGGCGTGCACCACCACAGCCCTGAAATTTACCCTGTTTCTCTTAATCTACATTCTGCCATGTGGCTCACCTCTTCTCTGTACTGTGTGTCCAGCTTCTTCAGGTCTGACTGGCGTCTCCTGCCAGGCCGGATTCTAATTCTGAGTTTCTCTCTGCCCCATAAGTCCCACCTAACCTCTCCTGCCTAGTAGCGTATTGGCTTTTCAGCTTTTTACTAAACCAATCACAATGACACATCTTCACACAGTGTCCAAATATCCCACAACGCCACACCTCCTAATCCTTCCCAAACAGTTTCACTAATGGAACAAGACATTCAAACATTGGGTGGTGGTGGTGGTGGGGTGCCATTCTTATTCAGACTGCTGTAAAAGAGAGCCTAGATTCAAGGGAAGGGTTCGGGAGTCACAGGATACAACTTCGGAGGGCAGCGGTCAGTATGTCTTATCAGCCTGTACAGAATTGCCTTGTTATATGGGTCTCAAAAGACTTAGAAGGGATGGGGCACACGGGGGCTTAGACCCTCACCACACTGACGCCGCCCCTCTCTTCTCTTAGCCGGCTCCAGTACCCAGACTCAAGCTCCCCACTGCTCAATGGACAACCCCAGCTCAGAACCGTTGCCTTCAACTTTGTCTGGGGAGGAAGAAAAACCTGTGGCCTTACTTCCTCCAGTTCCCCGGGGCCGCCGAGGCCGGCCACCAGGAGGAGCCACCACCTCCAATCGGACTCTCAAGTCCTCCCTTCCTCGCAAGCGGGGCCGACCCCCCAAATCAGTGCAGGAAGCGCCCTTGGCAGCACCAGCAGACAGCGGTGGCAACAACGATCTTCTGTTGATCGATGATCAGGGAGTTCCTTACACAGTTCCCGAAGGGTCAGCGGCAGATGGGCCCCAGGGCTCTGGCCCCAAGAGGGCTCCACACTTCTGTCCCGTGTGCCTGAGAGCCTTTCCCTACCTCTCCGACCTGGAACGCCACAGCATCTCGCACTCGGAGTTGAAGCCACACGTGTGCAAAGATTGCGGCAAGACCTTCAAGCGGTCCAGCCACTTGCGGCGTCACTGCAACATCCATGCGGGCCTTAGGCCCTTCCGTTGTGTGCTCTGCCCTCGCCGCTTCCGCGAGGCGGGGGAGCTCGCCCATCACCACCGCATCCACTCTGGCGAGCGTCCCTATCAGTGTCCCTCATGCAGGGTGCGCTTCACTGAAGCCAATACTCTCCGGCGCCATTACAAACGCAAACACCCGGAGCTCGTGGGGATGCCCGTGCGCCTGTGCCCCCCAAACCCAAGACCCCAGCCGCTGTGGGATGATGACGAGGGTGTCGCGGTCCCAGAAAGGGTGCAAGAAGAGAGTCCTGAAGGAAAGGGGCCTGCTTGGCTCATTTCCTCCACCACGTCTCCACTGTCTGGGTTTACAGCGGAGAGTTCAGTTGGTGCTAGGCATGGGCAAGGAGACCAAGACATCATTATTTCTGGTGATCATCCCGTCACGGAAGGGGGTCGAAAGCAGGGACCTAACCCTGTGGGTCCTGATGCCATCCAGCACCCTCCTTCGGACTGACAGGCTCTGGAAGGCATGGGCTGTGGAAATAAATCCCTGCCTAATGACTGCCAGTGTGTGTTCAGTTATGGTACCCATCCCCTTTAACGGCCCCTATTACCTTACCTGATCGTGGCGTGTGTGATTGCAGAGAAGCCTACTTCACATAGCTCCTTAGCATGGTGCCAAAGATCCTATGGCTTGAAGCAAGCCTTTGCCCAATCCGATCTCCATCAGACACGTACTGTAAAACGTTCAACCCTGCTATGCAAACGTGACTCTGGGCCCCTCCGTCCTAGCTGAATCCCTCCCCAGCAATTCTATATAGGCCACTTTTTGCTCCATTTCTTTTCCAGAGGACTTGCTACTTGGAAGAGAAACAAAACTAAGTTGAGAGCTTGAAGTTTGACCTCGACGGTAATGTAACTTGAATGCAGACGGCCCTAGGTTTGAGTGAGTGGCTAGCTATAGGGTGTGGGGTGAGTAGGGTGAACAGAACTGACCATAGAATTTAGAGGGAATGTGAGCTCGAGGGGAGGGTGGAACTAAGATGAGGTGTAAAACTTGGGCAGTAAAAACTAGGTTGCAGCTTAGGAAAGGAGGCTAAAAATTGGTCTTGGCTGGCTAAAAGAAGTATTTTTCAAAAATAAGGCAGAGTTCAAGATTGTTGTTGTTAAAAGATTTTTTAATAGGCGTATGAAGAAAGTAAAGCACACCTGGGGACATTTTTAGGGGTATCTCAAAAAAAAAAAAAAAAAAAGTTATGTGGAATTACTCTTTCCACAGTGGGGTATTAGGATTTAACCGGTAGGAGAAGATGCTTGGGGATGGACATCATTGCCATTCAGGCCACTGAAAGTTACCAGAAAAGGAGACTTGGCTGAATAGAGTTAGGCTTAGCTGCCCATCGTGGGGCTGAGGTAAGAGAGGGTGTGCATCGCCTTTAATCCCAGCACTGGTGGGGGCAGGTAGGGAGGCAGAGGCAGGCGGATCTCTGTGACTTCGAGGCCAGCCTGGCCTACAGAGCGAGTTCTAGGGCAGACTCCAAAACTAAACCGAGAAACCCTGTCTTGAATCCCCGTCCCCAGAGAGAGAAAAGGTGTGCATCAAAAGTGTTTCTCAACTCTAAAATCCACTGGGTTAAGGAGCATCACGCGGATTGATGCCAATGGTTGGAAATAACTGAATGCTTCCAAGGTGCAAAGTGGAACCACAAACATACAAATTACTAGAGACCATACCCCGTAACCCCAGCGTTCCCAAAGGCCCTGACAGGAGGATTGCCGCAAATCTGAGGCCAGTATGGCCTACTCAGGAGTTCGAGGCCACCACGGAGCCACAGTCTCAAAAGAAGACCATGTCTCAAAAGAAGAAATTAAAAAGTTTAAAAAAAAAAAAAAAAAAAAAGCGATCTCCCTTACAAACGCAAGAGGCGGTGCACAGCGTTTTGTGCCAGAGACGGGACTCGGAAGGGGGCGTGGTCTTTGGGTGTGGCCTGGGCGGGAGAGTGGAATTCCTAAAGTAAGGGGTTTGGAGCGAAGAAGAATAGAGAGCGATCTGAACCGGAGGGGGCAGCGAAAGGAATCGAACCAACCTAGACCAAGACGTTCGGGAGTGGGCGTGGCCGCCCCGGGGTGGGGCGGGGCTCAGGGTGTGTCCTAGCCGGATGCCTGGAGCCTGTGGGTGGCGCCCTGAGAAGAAGCGGTCGCGGTGAGCGCAGGCGCACCAGGCTCCGCTCGCCCACCGGAAGCGGCCTGGGCTGTCCCCCCCCCGTGCCCCCCTCCGTCCCGCGTCGTCGTAATTTCCCTTGCCCGTTCCCCCGCCGCCATCCTCCACGCCGTCGCTTCGGGGGGGGGTGTGGGGGGGAAACTGGCGCGACTTCCGCTTCCGGGCAGGAGGCGCGGGGCTATGGGGAGTGAGGGGGGAAGGGGCGGCACTTCCGGTTGGGCCCTCGGGTCTCCCCGGAGCGGCGGCACCTCCTCCGCCTCCTCAGCCTCCTCCCGGCGGAGACCCCGGCGCCGGTGAGTGACTGGATGCGCGGCCCGGGGGCCGGGGATGCTCGGGGGCGGGGGCCCTGGCCCTGGCCTGCCGCGGTCCCCAGCACGCACCCCTACCCCCAGCACGCCAGCGCTCCACCGCCGGCCCGAGCCAGGGGCTCCCGATCGCTCCAGAGATCGAACCCCCCACCCACCCCTCACCGTGGGATGGCCACCAGCGCGTGCGTTTCCATTCGTAACGAACCTCTCCAGTGCCGGGGCCCCCCGCGGATCCTCTCCCCGCAGCCTCGGCAGCTCCCTCCACCAGAGCCTCCCCGGGCATCGGCATTGCCCTGCTTGCGGGGCAGCTGCCCGGGAGCCCTCCCTCCGTCCCTGTCCTCCTGTAGGAGTGTCCCCGGGGTGGGTTGGGGGTGTTGCATTAGTACTTTTGACGAGAGTTCCACCCCCACTATGTCTGGCCAAACACAGCCCATCCCCAATGCCTTCTTTGTGGGTGCAAACATATTTTCCATTCTGGCCTATGCCAAGAGTGTTTTTTTTTTTTTTTTTTTAATCCTTTCCTGCAACCCCCACCCCCCAAAAGGACCTCTTCAAATCCAGCTCCCTCCAGAGTCATTCCCCCCGTTTAGGGACAAACATCTGCCCACTTAGCATCAGGCTCTCGTGAAACACTTCCGCTCCACTTCCCTCCCTCATCCTGGCCTCTGCTGTCCCGGAACAATGCAAGTTAGCAGGCAGTGTTCCTTTATGGGAGCATCAGCAACTCTTGTTCCCCACCTTTAGCCAACTCTCATGACATTGTCCCAAACTTCCTAGGAAAGACCCTGGCGCTGCTTAGGTCCTTTCCCATAGGTTCTTATCCGTCTCGGAACGAATACCACCATCCTCTAGGCCCAGGTCATGCAGTTGTGCAGGGGAGAGATGCAATTAGCCCTAATTTTACTGGGGTTGGCAGCCTAGTTGATAGGCAGATCAGAAACAAACTGCGCTGCTCGGTGGGTCTTCTGCGAGTGTGGTGAGCTATTCCCAGAGGTGGATGCTGAGACACGAGGTTTTTTAGTCATGCCATTCAACGATCCGGGGGACGGCTGGTGCAGAATTCCAGAGGTAACAGTGATGTGTGGACAAAGCCGCAGTGAATTTGGAGCAGAAGCGAAGGAGAGAAGGCTTGCTCCCAGAGAGCCTTGGGATAAAATGCCTGGCGTTTGTCAGTTCTACCAGGCTTGTAAGAGTCTTCCAGCATCCACTGTTCCCTATTCACTCCTAAACACTTTCGACACCTGGTTAGTGAGCATCTACTTAATACAGATGATAAGATGGGCAAAAATTCCTATCCATATAGAGTGCCTGTGCTAGTTGAGAAGGCAGACATTAGAAATGAAGCTACGTGGGGCTAGGGGACATAGTTCAGTCAGTAAAGTGTTTGGTCCTGAATTTAGATTCCCAGCGCTTACATAAATAAAATGGGCATAGTGGCACACGCCTGTAATCCCAGCATTGGGAGGATTCTTGGAGCTCACTGGCTAGTTCCACATCGAATGAAAGACTGTTTCAACGAAGCAAGGAAAGATCGAGGAGGCTTCACAACATTGGCCCAGGCCTCCACACCCTCACGTGCAAACATACCACACACACACACACACACACACACGAGGACAGCTGCCGGGGCTGGCTGGGGCATCACTAAGGCCACATGGGCTGTGTCATGCCGTCTTGCTCCCTGGGTAAGCCACAGAGCAGAAAGTTTGGTCCTAGACTGCTGTGGCCCACCATGGAGCTGCTGACAGCTTCCTTACCTTGCAGGTGGAGGGACTAAGAGTATGAGCTGGGGACTTTACTAGACTCGCCTTTTCTCACCCTGTTTGTCTAGCCTTGTTCCTTCGCTTATTCAGTAGTAGGTATCAAGCTACCAGTGGGATGGTTCAGCAGGTAAAAGCTCTTGCTCCCAAGCCTTCTGACCTGAGTTCAGTCCCCAAAGGAAGGACAGGACTGACTCCTGTAAGTTGTCCTCTACGTGTATGCACACGCAAACAAATCTAACAAAGTTAAAAAAAAAAAATTTAAAGCCATTGGCAAGTTGGGTACTGTCCTAGGTCCTGAGGACAGAGTTAAGAACAAGTCTTGTTTCTGGGGCTGTGGAGTTGGCTCAGTGGTTAAAAGACTTGCCATAGAAGCCTAAGGGTCAGAGTTCAGACTCCCAGAACCCATCTGAATGCTAGTGAGTTGGGAGGTCTACCTGGGATCCCAAGTCTCAGGAGGCAGAAATAGGCTCGCCAGAGCAGTCTGGCTGGCCGGCCATATCTGTGTGCTCCGAGTTTGAGTGACATGCCCTTCTCTAGAGACCATTCCTAGCATCAAGTCTATGCATGCACATGTGTGCGCCTGCACACGTGAACATGGAAAAGGAAAGTCTTGGCATCAGAGAGGGAGACCAGTAGAAACATGGTCAGGACGGCAGAAGTCATGGGGTGCATTCAACACTGGTGAATGATTCAGAGGGAAATGAAGCTAGCTGGGGAGTGTGGGTCTGGGCAACAGGTGGTGTTGGCCACTCAAGCCCCACTGAGAAGACACCAATTGAACAGACAGGAAGCGGGTGAGGGAAGGAGAGTGTGGGGAGTTAATTTTGCCTGCAAAAGCTATCTGTAGTCTTGAAATACAGAGCTTGTGCATGCTTGTGGGGACCTGTGTGGTTCACTGGGAAGACTCTGGGTCTCACTGGGACGGGGTCACTAGGTTTTCAGCGGGAGGGCCGTGGTTTGGCCTTTATCCTCCCGCTGAGTGGGACAGCAGTACTTTTGAGAAAGTTGGGACTCTTAAATGGGACGCACCCTGTAAAGCAACAAGCACCACACTTTAGAATTCGGTGAACAGCAGCGGCTGGTCTGGACTTGGGCCAAACTGAGAGACGTGAATAGGAGTCAGAGAGAGGATGGGACAGCGGGTCGTGTGTGTGTGTGTGTGGGGGGGTTGGTTGCTTTTGTTTTTTGAGACAGGCTCTTTCTGTGTCACCTGGCTGTCTTGGTCACTCTAGACCAGCTGGCCTTCTTGCGTGCTGTTTTGTCCGCCTAA